GACAGATTTTGATTTTTTTAATTACAAGAGGGGAGGCATGAGGAAGCATCAAAAAAATATACCATGAAAGAACAAAACATGTAAATATGCATGAAGCTACAGTAATCCATAGTGGAGATCGATCATCCAAACAGTAATGGTTGTTGCTATTTTATTGATGGGAGTTGTTGAAGACATCTACTTAATTGAGGTTTGACTTTTCAAACTAAAAAAAATGATAAACCACACCATTTGAACAACACACATCAACCTAACTAAGTGACAACTGTTATTCTAATATAGATCTTATGTTTTGGTTTTCTTTTGCAACTATATATAAGGCTTATAGGTGTGGTACCTCATCTTACCACACACATAATCACCATATCATTTTCCCCACATCCTACAAAACTGATAGGAAATGGTGTTACAACACCACTTCTCACTCCCCTTACTCCCCTCATTTTTTAAAAATCCAAATATATAAAAATAATATATTAATATTATACTTTATTTATAGGTAATTAAAAGTCACGGAAAAGATATACCACACACCACATGCCCAACTGTCATGTCACTCCACCGCACCATGCGGTGCACACCGATCAGTCTACGAGAGTTTGTTAATCTTTGTAATTGTGGGTTCAAGAAGAGTTGTATTTGTATGCTGAAACAACTATACACCCCATTTTACCCAAGACATTTACTTTTAGTTTTACCTAACTAGTTGATTATGTCACTTGCCATATATTCTATGTGGTGAAAACACATTTCTAAGCAATATAAATTTACATTTCTCTTCATATATATACCACAAAACACAAAGAAAAATGGACAGAGTGGGTCTGCCCTATCTTATTTTCAAACATAGTATATATGGTGGGATCCCATTTAGGTTAATGTTTCAGTTGATGAATAATAATAATACACAAACCTTAAATTAGGGTCCTACCAGTTTCAGCTTTCTCTCTCTTATCTCTTTTTTTTTCTTTTAATTTCTATATGAAGATCATGATTCATGTATGTTGTCATAGGGACATTTATGCAGGCTGCAGCAAATACTACAACACAACATTCATTTTTAGTTTGACTAGCGAACATATATAGAATAATTATTTATGAAAAATATAGACAAAGAAAAGTGCTTGACCCATACTAAAAAGTTACTTATTTTTTCCCACTACCCAATTGGCACCTTTAGGTTGTGATATTAGGCAAGAAGATTTTATGAAAGAATGATGATAGCATTCAGGACAAAGTGAAAAATCAGAAAGAGAGTGATGTGCATATCTAAAAAGCACTAATCATTAATACCCTCGGATTTTAATCTTTATCAAGGACAGTCGTGAGTGAAACCATGTTTTCTAACTTGGGTATGTAAATATGTACTATAAAAATATATTACGTCATGTGTATGCATTACAATTGATCATTTTTATTTTTACCACTAATTTTTTATAATGGTATCATCAAAAAGCAACCTAACGCGTTTTAAATGCTATCTGAAATAAATATTTCATTGCTTAATTAAGTATTTTCAACTGACAGAATTAGCATTCCACATTGCACCACTACACTATTATACCACCAACAAAAATGAAGGATTAAAAAAAGATTAGTGGGGTCAAACTTCATAGCATGATTATCAAAAGAAACGATTTTCTTACTTTTTAGTTTTTTTCTGTGTCTCATGTTTAAACCACCGTCCCCATAAACCTGCAATACATAGTAATTTTAAGAATAAATTACAATTTTGGTCCCCGATAGCCTTGCCTTGCAATTTTGGTGAATCTTGGTCCCTGAGTTTGTTCAAAAGTTTTATATTCAATAGTTTCCTTTTGGAATATTGGTGCCTATAGCTATAGGGACCATAATCGCTGCAACAAATGAAAATAGCCACCAATATTGCAAGAGAAAACTATTCGGGACCAAAACTGAAATTTTTGAAAAAACCCAGGGACCAAAAAAGTAATATATTCAAATTTTAGATGTCTTACATAATAACATTTTTATAGTTATTTATCCATGTAAGCAAAGACATCAAATTTTACCTAACTCGTTAATTAGATGCCATTTTAAGTGGCAAACACATAATATTTCAAAGAAATATATTTACCAGCATCGCAAATCTTTATCAAAGATTTCCACTGTAAAAATACTTTTTCATTTCTACGTTCCAATAAGCACAAAGAAAAAAAAATACTTTTGGAACATGGTGATGGTATGGTGGGACTCTATTTAGGTCGATATTCATTTCATGAATAATACACAAACCTTAGATTAGGGTCCTACGAGTTTCAGCCTTCACTTAACATGTTTCCCTTTTTATTTATTTCTTTACCAGGATCATGACGTAAGTACATATGAAAATAAAAGAACAGGCTTAAGTAACTTACGGAAATCTAGTAGGTTGTTAATAGTAATAGTAATACTACTTGTCTCCAACTTGTCAAATAAACATTAATCTCAGTCACGCCATATCTGCAACAATAGAGAACAAACTAAAATAGATATAAGTTAGAGCTAAAGGTGGTAATATGTACCCTTTTTTTCATAAACGAGTAATTTAGGTTATGCCTTATTATTAATGAGATCAAATGGATGTAACAGTAATATATATACAATGATACAATCTTCTATTTTGCTATATTTTTTTTTAAATTCAAAAAGATAGGACCCCTTATCAATCTTTTAATTAACTTTTTGGAAGCATTGAATTGAAAACACTAACCGCCTTCTTTCCTATTCTTCATTCTTTAATCTCTAAAAAAAAGGTAATGGTTATGCTTTACCATCATAAATTTTATTTTTACACTATTAACTTTTTTAATGACATTATCAAAAAGCAGGCCTTTTAAAATAAATATTTCAATTTCATTGCTTAGTTATGCATTCCTCATTTCACCACTAGCACACAAGTACGAAGAAGGATTAGAGAAATATTAGTGGGGTCAAAGCATGACTATGAATTATGAACGGGAGTGAGAGAAACAGGTTTGGCTTTCTCTTACTCTTGTTAATAATTTTCTAATTGAAGTAGTGGCCGTGTTTAAATCGCGTAGAGAGTTATTTGCATTAAACCTTTTTCAATATTACTATGATGCATGGTGCATGTCTCCATCTATGATGGGTCCAGATTTCGGTACAACTGCATCATTAATATATATATATATATATATATATATATATATATATATATATATATATATATATATATATATATATATATATATAAGCCAAAAACGTGTGCTTACCCTTCAATTTGCTTTGTGATGCCACGTTTAAACATCCGTCTTTGTAACCCTGGAATAGATTAGTGTCTAGTTTCGGATAATAATTTTATTTGTCTCGCTGTATAAGCAGTTTCACCCTACACAAAACATTTTGTGATATTTGTTATTTAGCAACATGACATCAATCTCAGCATCATATTGTTATTGCTGCAGCATAGATATTTTAAGAGTCCATGAAGATTAGATTATACTTCATTGGTACAAATGTATCTGATAAAACTCAATGTAGTGTAATCAGGAGATAGCATGCATTTTGCATTCTAAACAAGCAATATATTTATTTCATTGGGATTTCTGTAATTTGCCATAACTCAAGATAAAGGAAAAGTGACAAGCATATGAAGGTTTTAAAAGAGTGCAAACTTGTAAAAACAGAAATCCTTAAAGCCCTTCCCACTTAAGCATAAATTATACTTATTTAGTAAACACTGTAATCTTTGAAATCATAAAATAGTTTATTGTTCTCATTACTTTCTTCATGTCCGAAACAAGTAGCTACCATGAAAGGTACGGAATGTGGTACTACAAACGTGTAAAATTTAAAAAATATAAAGCAAAATCCCCATTAATTAGCTTTTTGAGCACTAAATCTATTATATGTCAGCAGCACTAGAGAACAGGATCATTATATTATATATTAATCTCAGATGACTCACTGTTGTTGGTAATCCTCATTAAGACAATATACTTGTCTTAAAATATAACTAATTTGTGGGCACAAAATGTTTTTCTAATTACAAAAAGGGAGGCGTGTGGATTGCATTAATTATCATACGACCTGATCAGAAAATATATGAATCCTACAAAACTATTAGGCAAATTTCTCCTAAAAGTACCGAAAACAGACGTAAGCCTTTTTGCATCTAATAGGGACACATAAGCCATAAGGTAACTTAAACAAATGTAGTACTAAAATTGAATTAAAAGAATCTTAAAGACTGTTTTACCTTGACATCAAAATGCAATTTCAACTTCATGCACCTTTCAGACAGTAATGTGATGAGGCGACCATAATGCATTCTTGCATTTTAGTGCACTGAAATGAAATGCTAAGCAACTTGGATTCCATTTGCTGCATTAAGTTAAGCAATTAAAAACAGGTTTCAATCAATTTTCACTACAGTATATTGACAAATTACTGAATCTTTACGTAAATTCAACATGCTGTATTGTAATATGATATTTTACCTTAAGTGCTACACATGTTGGTAACCATGTATTAACATTCAGGGAAAAAAAAAATCTATGTTACTGTACAGACTACAGACAACTGATAGTGGGAAAATTCTATATGCTGCACTATAGTTTATGTGGTGTCATTTTCTAAGAATTACAACATTGACCAGTCAAGAAACTGAAATGTTCATATTTGTCCTTTCTGAATCACTTGATAATATTATCTTTCTCCCTAATCAATATTTTTTCAAATCAAATTTGGGAAATTAGCATAGAGCACTTGAGAAATAACAGGCATATATTGCAGTAGTGTGTTATGAAAAGACCATTCCCCATAAGACGAAAGGATAAAAGGAGAAAGGACAAGCAAGTTCCACCAAGTTCACAAATGAATCCACTTACTGATATGCACCATATATTTTCATGAACTGTGATTGGACAAAATGGGAGAATTGTCAAGAGAGACAGATGTCAAGTTTTGGCACTTACCCATGTTTCATATCTAATGGAAGGGCCTTGTATATAAGTTGCACTTGCATCCCCACAAATCAAATTACATGAAAATAAAAGAGTTGGGAAAGAAACAACTAAACCATGAGCACCACAATTGACATTTCCAACGAAAATGAAACTTCTCACAACTACAAGAAACAAAAGAAATCCTCTTTCCTTGTTAAGCTATCTTCTCTTATAGAGAAACATGATGAACAACATACGCAAAAAGTCATTCATAGCATCAAGGTAGGGATTGCCTTGGTTTTGGTTTCACTTCTCTACCTCCTTGATCCACTTTTTAACCAAGTTGGGGAAAATGCCATGTGGGCCATCATGACTGTTGTGGTTGTCTTTGAGTTCTATGCAGGTTTGTCTTCAATTTTTTTCAAGTTAGAAGTACTCGTATTTTAGTTCTAGAGTGCTTAATCTTTCATCTCTAGAAACAAGTATTTTTTACAACTGATATATGTATGACAGGTGCCACATTAAGCAAAGGCTTGCTCCGTGGAGTTGGAACTGTACTTGGAGGTGGATTAGGGTGCTTGGCAGCAATTATGGCAGATGATTTAGGAAAGATAGGAAATGCAGTGGTGGTTGGTGCTTCAGTCTTTATTTTTGGTAAGCAAACATACATACATAAGATATATAGCAATATTGTCATTAAGTATGTTTGTTAAGAACCAATTTTAAACGTGTAGGTGCTGTGGCAACATACTGTAGATTGATTCCAAGTATAAAAAGGAGATATGATTATGGGGTGATGATCTTCATTCTCACCTTCAATCTGGTAGCAGTATCTGGTTTGCGTGCTGATAAAATTCTTGAATTAGCCCGTGAGCGTTTGTCAACAATTGGTATGGGTTTTGCTGTGTGTATATTCATCAGTTTACTCATTTTCCCAATGTGGGCTAGTGATGAACTTCATCGCGTCGCATCCTCCAACTTTGACAAACTGGCTTGCTGCATTGAAGGTAGTTGAAAAGTGGTTATAATGTTTTTTTTTTAGTATCATTATCTGAAAACATTTGAATGATGAATTGTAGATTGCATGAAAGCGTACTTGGGTGTAGTCAGTGAGAAAGAAAGCATGCCAAGCATTAATGTCAGTGGTTGCAAGTCAGTGTTGCACTCAAAATCAAGTGAAGAATCACTGGTAATATCTCTTGCTAGTTAGTGGTCCATGTTCACATTGCACTTGACCTAAGAATATTCAAAAACAAATTATGCTTACAGATACTAAACAATCCTGTCTACTTGTTTAATTCTATTACTAAACCAAAAAAAGACTGGAAAATTAATTTGAAAGAATAAACTTCAAAGTTCAAAGTTAGCAATCATAAATGTCAACTACAACTTGAAAGCAAATACAAATTGTATAAAAATCAATGTGAACATAGATACAATAAGCTATATTTCTAAAAAAAAATACATAAGTCATTTCTCAGAATTGTATCCATGTGTTTTGCTGATCGGGTGATCTACTTGTAAGTCTATGCTGCTGATTTGTATGTATTTTATATACTTCAAGGGTGTAATGATGGAATATATATATATATATATATATATATATATATATATATATATATATTGTATGACTTAACCAAAGAAAGCCAAGGTTTATACAGATCTAGATATCATATCAAACACCAATTTCTTTAACTGTGTAAAAACATCTTAAATTTTTTTTTCTCGCCTATGAATATACCTTGGTTGTAAAAAATGTCAACCTTCTAGAGCATTTACATATATTTACCTTTTATAAGATGAGATGAGTATGCTCTTTGACTTTTGTTGATAAAAAAAGAAATATTCACATCCTGTTTGATTTTTAGGCAAATTTTGCAAGGTGGGAACCCTGGCATGGAAAATTTGGTTTCTATTATCCCTGGGAGAAATACTTACAGATAGGAGAGCTTATTAGGGAACTTGCTTCCATCATTCTGTCAATGAAAGAGTGTCTTGGATCACCATTACAGGTTTGTACACGTGTTCCTATCATAAGATTTCAATTATTGAGTTAAGTGGCTTAACATAGTTAATTTTTTGTACACAGCCCTCAACACCATTACAACATGCACTCAAGGAGCCATGCAAAAGTGTAGGGTTATCACTTGGATTAACCATGCGAGAGCTAGGAGAAAGTATCAGGAATATGAAAAGATGCCAAACAAAAGTCCTAAAGTTGGAGTCCATTAAACTAGAGCTCAATCTACTTTCAACTTCACATAAACTACGAGGGATTGCAAATGTCGAATCTCTTGCCATAGCAAACTTCTTGTTTCTATTAATGGAAATAGTTGATAAGGTAGAAGTTTTGGCCAAAGAAGTGGAAGAACTTGGAGAGGTGGCTGGTTTTCAATCTAAATAGCCCAACCTAGCATATGGTTTTCAATGACAGAAGACCTGTAAGCAAGCACAGCTTCAAAAAAACACTATGACTTATAATTTTACAAGGAGTTCGTGGCAAGTGTCTGCATACATACTTGTAGCATGTATAAACAAAATGGACTTCTTAACTGTCAATATCCAAAACATTCTGGGTCGACAGGTGCTGTTTGGTGAATGTGAAGGAGTAACTTTGTGGTCAGAGCCATCTATTTACACTTTGGCTGGATGGCAGTGTATTCAAAGAATAGTAATCATGGATCACATAGTGATGATGCAAACTGATCTAACATATATGTTAGTTTTTGGGGGTCTTTTTTTTTCCTTTTTCGTATTATTATCAGTTATCATTATTTGGTAGATTTGTATTATCTCTTTAGTCATTATATATTTGATAGATAAGTACTCCTACTTTGGAATAAGATAATTCACAGTTGAATATTAATCTTTATGGTATCTGACCACAAACCCTGACATCCCATTACCTCCTTCGCGGTTTCCTCCTCTCAAGAACTTTGGACTCGCCTTGAAAAAAAATTAAAAGATAACAAACATACTGTCTCGTGTACCTTGAAGAACAGTTCATTGTAACTTGTCTAGAAACCTTGTCTAACATCTATGACTATTGCTAACAGTGCAAGATTAACTAATTAACAGAGATACAATACCTTGAACCTCCCCCCCATCAATATATATTTATATATATATATATATATATATATATATATATATATATATATATATATATATATATATATATAATATTCCAGATTAACTAATTAACAGAGATACATAATGGGATTGAACCTCCAAAGGTTTTCTAAAGATTAATATGTAATAAAATTCACTGCAGCAATAGAGACAAGGAATGGCATCTAAATCGGCAACTTCATGAAATGTGGTAGTTTTTAATTTCATATATATATATATATATATATATATATATATATATATATATATAGGGAAATCTCCAGAAAAGTCCCAAAATTTTAATCCAATTTATGAAAAAGTCCCAAAATAAATTTTATTTACAGAAAAGCATAGAATACCGGTTAAAACTTCGAAAAAACCCTTTTCGGCCGGTTTCGCAGATTTTGCCGGTATTCTGTCCTTTTTCGTTAGTTTGCTCAAAATTTTGGGACTTTTCCAAAAATTACATAATAACCAAAATATTGGGATTTTTTTGAAAATTACCATGAAAT